AACATTGTACCAAATCGTTCTTCTTCCCATTGGTTGCGCCCAGAATCTGGCTCTCTTTCCGTTATGTCTTACGAGATACACTATTAATTTAGTTCGTTTTAGCCGAAAGCGATTAACTTGGCTTCAAAATTGAAGTATACAGGAGTTCTTGCCATTTGTTTCTTTATTTTTTTTGTTAGAAAGAGCAAGATTGATGGATTGCTCGGGGTACAAACTTATGGTACCCAGAAATGCTGATTGACCTTTTTTTAACATGAACGACCTATCTGTCAAAATAAATGTCAGATTTTATGAAAGTTTTACCGTAGATAACAGAAAATATACAAACAATCGTATAACAATAATGGTAAAGTTCTAAAATGATCACCAAAAAGCCAGTTGTTAAAGGAATTAAGCATTTTACTTTTTATAAGAAAAAAGGCCATTTTTTCATTTTTGATTTCTGAATTTAAAACTTAGTTCCAGAAAGATTGGAAACTATGTGAAGCAGCGTCTACTTTATGAACTTGCAAAGGACATTTTACCAGATAAAATCGTTAACCTGATAAAATTATTGACCAGATAAAAGGAGTGAAATTTATCACTTTGCTAAAGACAGTTTTATTTTATATGTCAACACGAACAAGGTTTGTAAGTTGTTTAAAATAATCCTACTGGTTTTTTTGTAATGAATTTGCACTGCTTGGATTTTGGAACTGTCCATTAAATGTTTAAGGGATTTCAATATCAAAATACAAACGTTTCAAATAAAAAAAAACAGAGCCTAGTCCAACTCTATGCTTATAAAGGTTAGTCACTCTTGGTTCCAACTTATGTTGCTTTATGTCTAAGTAATGAATACAGTTCAGTTTGTTTGGTTGTGCTTTTTACAATGGTATAGAGCCACTTTAACAATACAAAAAATTCGTGTCACATTAAAGGTTTCATGATCACTGCCGTATGAGCACATCTGCGGATGTTTCTTAATTCAAAATAATACCATTACATGTTTAAATATTGAATTTTACTTAAGCCGGTGCTAGGGGGCGTTGACGGTAGCTTGCACCTTCCAGTACTGTCAATTAACATGCTCAGTCAAAATAAGCCTGCAACAGTTACAATTTTGCCGTTTTAGAGATTATATTTCTCTCTATTTTACTAACATTTATGATTTCTAAAAGTGCTTGTGAAAATATGACAACCGATATTCAGATTTTCGAATGCTATTTACTTAAGCCAGTCAATATTTTAGATTAATTAAATATCACGTTTCAAATTTAAGGTCTTCATGCGATAAGAAAATGTGTAAGCCTACAACTCCGTAATTTAAAGTTAAAAAAAAAGAAATCCCCGTAAAAAATTTTAATTAAATAATTTTATGGGTTTTCAAGGGAGGATATTTTGTCCACGTGGAATAAAATTAGGCTTTTTGTATGCTCCATAATTATAAAAGTCTTACTGGGTTAAAGGGCCGTGGAGAAATCATAGGGTTTCTTTAAAGGTTTTCTCTAGTAGGAAGAAAACCTATGTTTTGAATTCTGGAAAAATTAATTATTTTAATTCCCAATTTTGGGGGTTAAAAGTTTGGTAAAGTTCAGATTTTTTAGGAAAAATTGGGTTTTTTTTTCTAAACGATTTATTATAAAAACCCCTAGATTTTAATCCTCGTGGAGAAAAAAAATTTTTTTAAACCCCAAATTTTTAAACCCCAAATACGTAGGACTTACAAAGTCCTATGTAGGAGTTATAAACTCCTAATTAGGCTTTTTTTACCTCCTACGTAGGAGTTACAAAGTCCTACGTAGGAGTTATCTTTTTTTATAGAACATGTTAAATCAATTAACATTAAATTTTATGCAATTAATATAGTCAATGGTAGGATATTATGTCATCGTGCACATGCAAAATGCTCCCTATCGGACTATTATTGTCCAATGCATGCCAATAATTATAATGTATCGCTCTGACTCGGGCTAGCGGCAAGGGCGCGTGCGAAACATGCATAGCGTTCTTTGCAGTGTTTTTTCTCTTAATTAGGAAGAGGCCTTAGTCTCTTGATTCTTGGAAAAAGTATATTTAAATTGCTAATTTGGGAAGTAAAAAGCTGGTGTTAGTTCAGATTTCTAGGAAAATTACATGAATTTAAAACGAATTTCCATTGATAGGTCTCTGTTCTATATGGTGAAAAAATCACTGCTTTGGAAAGGTAAAGTACAGAAATCTTTTTTAAACAAAATCAGTATGAAAAAGTGCATTCAAGTGAAAAAAAGAAACGCATTTAATGAATAAAGCCTTCTGAGGTTTAAGAGACTTTGGCATTCTTGAAAAACATCTTAGGTCCTTATCCTTATGGAATACCAGGCATTTGTCCTTATGGAATACCAGGTAATTATCCTTATGGAATACCAGGTAATTGTCATTATGGAATACCAGGTAATTGTCGTTATGGAAAACTAGATTATTGTCCTTATGGAATACCAGGTAATTGTCCTTATGGAATACTAGGTTATTGTCCTTATGAAATACCAGGTAATTATTCTTATGGAATACTAGGTAATTGTCCTTATGGAATAATAGGTTATTGTCCTTATGGAATACTAGGTAATTGTCCTTATGGAATACCAGGTAATTGTCCTTATGGAATACTAGGTTATTGTCCTTATGGAATACCAGGTAATTGTCCTTATGGAATACCAGGTAATTGTCCTTATGGAATACTAGGTTATTGTCCTTATGGAATACCAGGTAATTGTCCTTATGGAATACTAGGTAATTGTCCTTATGGAATACTAGGTTATTGTCCTAATGGAATACCAGGTTATTGTCCTTATGGGAATTCAGCGTGTTACCATTTTGGATTGCAACATTCAATGTTATTATCTTGAAAGAATACCAGCGGGGTGTTTCCATGCAATACTAGATTATAGTCTATATGGTATAACAGGTTATATTCATGGAATGTCATAACATTTTCTCAGTGGAATAAATGTCGTTATTATCAGTCTGATACTACAGGTTATCTCCTTTTTGGGATATTAGCTTATTTCCTTTATTTTTGAAATTGAGAAAAGTACTCCTGGACAAAAAATTTTTTTTTTCTCTCTCTCTCCAAGAAGTTGATAGTGTTTATTATCTTAACGTTACCATATGCTCCGTTAGACACCCTACTTGTGAGATCATTTGTTAGATTCAAGATGAATGATGCTCAGACTCCTACAATACGTAAGTTGTACTCATTGTGATGGCAATATACAGTTGATAAAACTGATTCCACCAACAGGAATATTTATTACCCTCGGCGATTAGGTCATAAAGCTAAATCTTCATAAGTATAATTCAGTATTACAAATACATTTCTACTAAAGTGACATCATCTACAAGACTATAATTTAGAAGCAAAAAAAATTCTTGACCTAATTGCACTAATATCTTTGAATACGTGGACCATACTGGTTATGTGTATGCAAACGCGGAGAACGTAAAGATAGACTTAGAGCTAAAAAGACCGAAAAGATCTTCTTAATTTTCTTGCTGGTTAGATATTTAGCTACCAAAATAATTATCTTGGTTTCAATACAGATACACTACCAATATAAAAAGACAGAATTGTTTAAAATGTGTCGGGTATGGTGGCACAAAAGTGCACTTCTTTATATCTCGTTCCAACTACATTATTATCTACTTCCCATAAGATATTATCTCTTTCCCACGACATGAACATCTTAATAAAAAGAGATAATTTCTCGAGGGAATGAGAAATTATCTCGAGGGAACGGGAAATTATCCCATGGCAACGAGAAAAATGAAGAAGTTCACAGCTCACCTCTGTGACACCATAGTCGAGACATTTTATATAAATAAATCATATTTGCGTACAATTTATTGGGATATTTTACAGACAACACATCATTATATTTTTACAATAGGTCGCGATATAGCTTTTGTAAGTTATTGTACATTACCATTTACAAAATGTTGGGACAATTTAGTCGAGATAATTATTTAAACATATTTATATCTCTGCTCTAGTTGTTGAAACACTTAAATACATATTATTTATTTTTCTGTTTAAATTATGTTGTGATATTTCATATAAAAATAACATTTATTACAAGATGAACTATGTGAGTATACAAAATTATTGTTATAACTTGTCCGTATAATTTGTATAAAAAATGCATTACTGTAACAAGTATTGACAAATATCTACACACATAAAATTACTGTCCAGAAGGTGTCGGTGAAGTTTGAATGAAAATTGCATTACCGTTACAATTAGTGCGGAGTATCTTTATACAAGTAAAAATACTGTTTAAAAGGTATAAGGAAACATTAATTTAAAAAAAAAGTAACTATGTGTCATGATACTTTTCTATGAATGATCGAAGTCTTGGTTTTTTTTGGTACCAGGTAGTCAACTATATTATTTTAAATATTGCTATATTATACAATTGTATAAGAAATATTTAAATAAATCAAAAAATGTTCATTATTTTCTTTTTTAATCATCATAAATTTTGAAATTTTAGTTTTAATTGTCTAAATAGTAAAACATAATAATTATGTTACTACTTAATTATTAAGTAGTCAACTGCAAATTCTATAATTCCCTTTAATATACCAACGTTTCGGCTGAACAGCCTTCTCTTCTTTAGTGTACATACATAAATAAACAGGAAATTATGTCAGCGTCACATGACGTCAGTAGTTTTAATTGTGTTAATTTAAACGGAACGTTACATAAACTTTAAAACTATTCGCAAGAAATAAAAACCTTGTTAGAAAGAAGTTCATATTGAATGTAAGAATTTTGACTCAAATAAAACTGAATTAAAATGGTCATCTTTTATTTAAAATAAACAACGTTAAATAAATTTTTGACCATCATTTAAAATAAGCTTATAAAATTAATAAGAGTGAAACTTATATAACTGTTTTCTTCTGCAAAATAGGGAAAATGCAGGAATAACATTATATTATAATTTTATATAGAGATCAAGAAATAGTTATTTTTGAAATACCTGCTAACAGTTGCATCCACATAAACGTTGTTATAGTAACACAACACATGTTTTCTAGAATTCCTTCTGTAAGTCTACCCAACTAACTAACCAACAAGTTACTGGGCAGTCTATCAAATTAAAACACAAGATAACACAACGAAAGTTCTTCTTCAGAGTAAAACATCCCGTTTAATAAAATAAATTTTGTTTTAATATAAAACAAAGCGGTATGGAAATTAATTATTATAAAGAAAAGAATAAGCGTTGCTATGAAAGAATCCTCAAGTTAGTGAAACAATCTTGACTCGGCTGGTCTATAACACTCCCGCCGCTAGATGTCATTCTTGTATTGATCAGTATTCAATAAAGTAACGTTCCAAACTGAAATAAGCCCCTGTAACACATAGAATTACTGTCTTATATACATATACGTCGTACATTTTATTGCGATTTTTTTTGCTCAATTACCCTTTGTCAATTCTATATAGAATCCAGAAAATTAGCCAGGACATGTCCGATAGAAAGATTTCTAATAGAGCTTACAATATCATGTACAACATTAATAAGTCGAGTCATGATTCCTTGAACAATGTTATAGTATTCAGTTCTGTTTAGAAAATCATTTGGAACCAAATTCTAGTCTCAAAATAATTAATTTCAGAGGAAAGTCGTGTTGTTGTTAAAGCGTTTTTGTTTTTTCACTTGTTCTTTTTTCCCCGATAATTAAAGTTAAATTTAAAAAAAGAAATCGTTTTAAATAGAATTTCTGTTCTTAGTTCAAATCATTTTATGAATGAGAAAAAAAAATCTTTGCTCTCATTACACGTAATCTTTTTAAAGGTCGATTAGATACAGACGCTGGTCCCCAATCGGAACATCTCGGCTATAATTGTCAATAATAATTGACGAAAATGGTCGAAAAGTTGCGATTGGCTGAACCCTATATATGCTTCGAACAAAGATATGGACGTGAAATTATTTAATATAACAGAAGGACAACGGTTCGATCAGGCGACCACTCGGTTCGCTCTGGCGATCACTCGGTTCGCTCTGGCGACCACTCGGTTTGCTCTGGCGACCACTCCGTTCGTTCTGTCGACCACTCGGTTCGCTCTGGCGACCACTCGATTTGCTCTGGCGGCCACTCGGCCGACCACTCGGTTCGTTCTGTCGACCATTCGGTTCGCTCAGGCGACCACTCGGTTCGATCAGGCGACCACTTGACTCGATCAGGCGACCGCTTTCTGTTTAAAATGATGAGAATTAATCCCATTTAGGCGAAGTAAAGTCTGCTTTCATAATAAAGGCTGGAAAGTTTCTAAAATGATCTTTATATTGTCGGAATGATTAACAATTCCAGAAAATAATACAATAGTTGAACCGATGTTGGATTTTTTGTTACCGAGGAATGTAAATGTACATTTAATGTTTCTAATAAAAGCTGTGACATCATGTACGTGTGGCAACAACTAGAATCGTTCAGTTCTAAAAAAACCTGTATATGAAAATGTATTCTATTAAAGAAATAAATAACAGGTTTCAACATCATCTCAGAAGTTCACGTATTTAATGAGACTCCGATGAAATTCCTAAATGATATCAATACTCAATAAAAATAAACTCTTAACAAGTTTTAAGCACTTTCGTTTTTAATAACAATCAAAAGAAGCAGAATCCCACAAGTACAATTACAAAATATCTTAAATGGGCTGTCGTTCAATCTTAACCTAACCATACATCATTATCAGGAAAATATTCCAAAAAAGTACTTCCGGGAAGGGGAACAGTGCAGATCAGTATCACGTGACACGGATGTGCCGATTGACATTGGCCTGCACTGGTCACATGGGTAGAATTAGTGGTCACCAGTTTTTTCTCTCATTTTTCATTAAAGGCCCATGATGCCTAAGATATGCTATCAATCTTATTTCTTAAAAAAAACGTTTTATTTTGGTATCTGGTTACAATTTCAAAAAAAAAACAACAACAACAACACTTATTTGCCATATAGATGAACTATCTGTAAATAATAGTGAATTGTTTACATTTTGCTCCTTTTATGACACATTACTGCTATGCTAATTTCTCCATTTGTTTAACATCAAGCATGCTCTATATCCATCATTAAACATTTTAAACACATGTTTGACATTTCTAATAATTAAGAAAAAATTGGATTTCTGGGCAAAATGTGCCTTTAAAATGAGCATGAATCGGGAGGGGGCGTGCTGCTTTAAAGTGCATTTATTGATACATCATAAGCTTGCTGTATCATTGAATATTATAACACATACATGAAACGTACGATGACCTTTCCATAGATATTGATACACGTTGGGATGGCCTGGAACCTGACTACACAGTAATACGCGTGGTAAAGTAGTTCGCTATACGTATAATTGACTACAACATACTGCTGTTAAAATTATAAAGGCTCTCAAATTACGGTCATTAAAGGTGAAATCACTTGTCAGTAATTATAGGACGTAATAAATCACAAAGTATTGATAGAAAAAAAAGCGAATGTGACATCAATATGTGACAATAGGTTTACTGATACAAAATTATAAAAAAAAATTCTTTGTACAATAAATCAAGCTCAGATTGAAAAATAAAAGATAGATACATTAAAAAACTGGGCTTTATTACATAGATGAAAAACTTCAAATACAAATGTATTTCACAAAATAAACAATATATATCACAAAATAGTATTCATGAGATGAAAGTAATGTGTTTTTACACTTGTTTTGAAATTGATTTTAATGTCGATACTAGTCGGAGCGATAACCCCAACACTAAATCACAGATATTTAAAATATTGACCCACTTAAACAAAATTCAAAGACTGCATGAGTACCGCTCAAGCCGGTGCTAGGGGTCGTGCGGGATGTTGCACTTTTTCATTACCCCTCATGTACAGACTAATGCAAACCGATTCTGCAATTTCCAAATATTTTTGTTGCGATTAATGCTTCCGAAGGGTCACTCTTTCCCCAGATGTTTACGGAGCACTACAAAAGTTATTCATGGAACTGGAAACTGGTTCTGAGGTATCCAAAACATGTACAACGGTAGATAAAGTCAACTCTATATTCTAAAAGTAAGAAATAACCGGAAAATCAGAATAAATTAGTTACTTTTAAATTTTATGTTAAATTTATTTTTTTGTAGATATTTTAACAATTTCTTCAAAATCTTTCCCCAAGTCAGTGGCCAATGGTCAAGACATCTAACTACCTTATGGAAGTTAAGTAAAACAAAAATTGAGGTAGTATTTGTTAACAAAAAGATAGGGTTATTAGACACACATTAAAAAGGTTACCAAATTAAAAAAATATCATCGGCGTCTGTCTTGCCCCCCCCCCCCCCCCCCCCCCCCATTCACTAGGGACTATTTGCTTGTTTGTTGAAAAACAAAGTTAAAACATTTATCAAATGTCAGGGTAATCTATGCGTCGGGGTTATCCACCCAACAGTACAGTTTGCATGATACGTTCTTTAAAGAGAGATGTTCGCAGCGGTCTCTTCAACATGACGAACTGATTGTGAAGCCATTTTCAGTGAACGACAGTATTTAGCTATTACATAGAGTTGAAATCGGTCGAGTTGACATTGATTTCCTTAAATAAAGTGTGCTTCTTACTTCCCATATGAGCCGTGTCATGACAAAACCAACATAATGGGTTTGCGACCAGCATGGATCCAGACCAGCCTGCGCATCCGCGCAGTCTGATCAGGATCCATGCTGTTCGCTATCAGTTTCTCTACTTGTTATAGGGTTTGTAAGCGAACAGCATCGATCCTGATCAGACTGCGCAGGCTGGTCTGGATCCATGCCGCAAACGCATTACGTTGGTTTTGTCATGACACGGCTCATATATCTTTTCCGGCAAATCATTCCACCTTGTCAAAAAGTTGTATCTTAAATTTGGATTGAATCAGAAAGTGAGCTGCTTTGATAAATTTCAAATGATAAGTTTACGCTCATTTCTATTCGTATTGAAATAAAATCATGTAAATCACGCATTTTGTATCATTCCTAGCCAAATATTAACTGGTTATGTAAATATGGTGTTCTTTCAATCGAAATTTATTTTCTTTATCGCTTGCAAAGTAAGCAAAATTAACTCATTTTTCTCATTTAAGGCAAACGCATTTTTTTTTATTTGGAAACGCATTTCTTCTTTGGAGACCATGTTTCATGGAGTGCAAACACTAGTCGGAATCAAGATTCCATTATATCGGTCTTATCAACACATGGTTTTGCGGATGTTGCAATATTTCAACATTTTAATAATCACATGTAATTGTTGAATTCCCCTGAAGCCGGTGCTAGGGAGGGGGCGGGGACGGTAGCTTGCGTTTGCCCCTACCGTCCATAATCAGACTCAGTGTTTGCAACATTTTCAGTTTTGCTGTGTTCGACATTTTTTAAGGTTTGTTAAGCGTCGTTCCGCGTAATATCTGGAAATCAGAGTGAATTAAAATCCTACTTTCTCCGTTGATATGTAATATTATTATAAACTGTCATGTTGCAGGGCATCGAAAATCTATATGGTATGATAGAAACTGGGAAGACAGACAAGTTCCTTATAACAGAAATCATTATAATTTCTTTAACAACAGTCATCTTTAAAGAAAGTGCAATTATTTTAAAACCATTATCACAAATTTCAGCTACAATGTACTTTAAGCTATAAAGTACCCTCCGTAAATTATTACAGGAGCGAGCGGGAATCTGCGTCACCGACCTTGCATAAGTATGCTAGATATTCCATAAAAGACAGTCCCTGAAATCAGTTACCATAGAAACAAGATTTCTATCAAACGTATAGCAGTAGACTTACACTTAAACCTGCTAACTTTTGTGATTTGCATTGCTTTGAATTTGGAACAGTCCATTCAAATTTTAAGGGAATTCAATATCAAAATACAATGTAGTATCAAGCCTCGTCAGTTTGAATGTGCAAGCTTGCCTAAGCCTATATTCAGACACGGATCTTGGGTGCCATACTGGTAGTTAACTTTTGGTTCCAGCAGGTTGAAAAATAGTTACAAAGTAATACCTTAAAAATATATGACTAAATACAATAATTTCCGACTGTGCATCGACATGTGGACTTTTGCAGGATATAATAATCATGCACTTAGGCTAAAAACAAGCCTTGTCCCTGGTTACTTTTGCACAAGACAAACAAAATCCCATTTTTACTAATTACTAACATTTTTTTTAGCATATATCCCTTCCAACTTTGTTATGAAAATATTACAAACACTTCTACTTCTTTTGTGTAATATTATTTTA